GATTTTCATACAAGCTACTGTCTTTTGTATTACTTGAATTCTGAGGAAAATACTAAGGGCTGTTTACTCAAGAGCTCTTAAATAATTTTCAGGATTATTTAGAATCATAGCAAGAATGATTTTTGAATTATCATATTAATAGCATGATCTTCTTTGTTTTAACAAATCTGAAGAAGAAACAATAGCTGTTTTTAATAAATAATATAATTTATAAAAATATTGATCTACTATTTAGTTTTTAGCTGTAATTTTTCCTAATGGCTAAGCATATATTTTAAAGTATGTGAACTGTAGAAGCAGAAACCATTTATCTCATTCCCTTCTAGCTTTTTTGGGCTGGTCTTATAAGATATATTAAGAGGAAAACAAATTTAATTTTATCAGTCTATGTACAGGAGCTCCATAAAAAACTATAAGACTAAAAGAAACAACTTTTATAACTTTAGACAAGGAAACAGTAAATTTGTAAAGAATTGGCAAAACAAATGGATTAGGATTTAGAGAAATAAATTAGTGCAGATTAACAATGTTTGTTTAGAGCCATCTGGATCCTAAAATCTCTATTCCTGGTGATAAGGATGCTTTCTATGATCCCAGTATGGGTCGGTTACTTTTCATATGAAAGTTTATTTTCTACATTCAGGAATACAAAGGAGGGTCAAAGTGCTGTTCTTGTACCAGCTGTTTCATATGTAATGTTAATTCAAAATAAATAATGCGCCAAAATGGCATATGTCAGCTCTCCTTCAACACATTGCAATTATGTGGGCTTGGATATAAAATAGTTTTTATACTTTTAGATTCAAACTATGTAAACAACTTTTCAGAAGTATCCCCACCCTGACCTGTCTACTGCCAACTGATATATGGAAGAAGTGCTCATTTTACTCCCACATTTTGGAGCCCTTCCCATTTCTTGGGCATAGTCTTGGGTATGGGGTGCTGAAATGGGAAGGTGGCATTAATGGTTTACTATTTATAAAATGTTCAAGTAATGAAGATAGGTGAACGTGTGGACATATAAACTATGAGACTATCCTGTATGTATACTTTATTTTAGATAGGCAAATGTTTCAAATAAAAATACAATTTCAAGAAGAGAAGAAAAAGAAAAAAAGAATACTTTTAAAGTGACTTAGACCAAGGCAATCTTATTACAGCTGTTTTTCTCTCTGAGTACAGAAATTTAACAGAATCATATTGTTAGGATAAGTTTTAAATTTTCAGTCAGTGATATTCCATCTATCATTGGTGAGCAGACGCAAGACAAACACCTCTGAGATCTTGATTAACCAAGTTAGAGTCAAAAGACTCAGGGCAACTTCAAATATGTTGCTTTTTTTTCCTTTCCCAACTGCAAATACCTGATAAGGCAATGAAAGAGTCTTTAAATATGTATCTATGAGTAAGGTTTGGTGAATGCTTTTAGCCGTTTTATTAAATTATGAACTACTTGAGTACTGAGTATTTAAATGTTAGAGGGCTCTTTATTCCAAATTTCCTGTGACATTGCCTCAAAACTAAAATCCAAACTTTGACATGTCTACCTCAGACTCATTTTAAAACCAGGACACCCAAAATTTCATAGTATTTGTTAGAGTCCACATCTTTCTGGTCCCACTCAATACAATCAATATTAAACGTAATATACTTCTAAATATAGAGCAGGCACTGATTGAGTTAGAAACAATCATTTATCTCTAGTTTGATTACAGAATAGTGGGTTCTTAAACTATTTTTCAGAAATCCTTTCACTTGAGATGAAGGAATTGACATATACTCATCTGAGAATTAGAGGTCTTATCACCTTTATATGATCACAGTTGAAATACTTTTAGTTTTATAAAAATGTGCTTTGTAAAAAAGAGTGGATTGTGACAATGATTTAGTTATCTCTGAGCTGTTTCATATATATATATATATATATATATATATATATATATATATATATATCAATATATATCAATAAAGATATATATATATAAAATCAATAAAGATATATATATATATATATATATATATATATATATATATATATATATATATCTTTATTGATTTTAGAGAGGTAGAACCATCAATGATGAGAATCATCCATCGACTGTCTCTTGCACGTCCCCTACTGGGAATTGAGCCCACAATAGATTATCTGGCTTTTTCTTTTTCCACCCCCCACCCCACCCCCACCACTTAAAAACTCACATTTTATAAATCAACACTTTGTAAGAAGTATATTTTCCAGTAACCAATAGAAATCTACATTATGTATGTTGTTAAATGCACACTCTCTGTTATGCATTTGCATCTGTTTTATAGCATAGTGACAATAACCCCAAGAGTAGAGAATGGTAAAAGATTTGTACCTAACAGAGTAAAAATAAAATAAAATAATAAATAAATAAATAAAAAACACCTTAGGAAACATTCCACTTTGTTGATTACAGTGACCTGGTGGTGACACGTAAGGTGTAAGGTGCAGGGCTGAATAGCATGTAAATGTAGAAACGCTGCCTTTGGGATATTAAAACAGTCTTTTCACATTCAAGGTCATATATAATGTTACTTTAATACTATTTTTCTTAAGTTGAGATCGATTCAGTCTTTTGTATAAGTTCATCCTAAGTAATCATAATTTTAAAATGGGACATTTGATGAACCTGATGTGTTTGCCAAAATGTAAAAGAAACCCATGGGTTTATGTTAAATGAATATTTTTCTCTATATACTCAAACATTTAAACTCACACATTTAAAGTATTATTTTAAGAAATAAAGAAAATTTAAACATAGGGGACTACATCAAACTAAAATGTTTTTGCACAGAGACGGAAACCATCAACAAAACAACAAGACAACCCACTGAATGGGAGAAGATATTTGCAAACCATACATGAAAAATATATAAGGATCATACAATTTGACACACACGCGCACACACACACACACACACACACACACAAATCCAATATAAAAATAGGCAGAATAGACATTTCACCAAAGAGGACATACCAATGGTCCACATACATATGATAAGATGTTCAGCATCATTAATCATCAGGAAAATGCTTATCAAGAGAAGGAGACCAGAATGCAGTCAACTCTAATGTAAGGAAGGGCTAGGTCAGTGGACGGCAAACTCATTAGTCAACAGAGCCAAATATCAATAGAACAATGATAGGAATTTCTTTGAGAGCCAAATTTTTAAACTTAAACTTTTTCTAATGCCACTTCTTCAAAATAATCTTGCCCAGACCATGGTATTTTGTGGAAGAGCCACACTCAAGGGGCCAAAGAGCCGCATGTTTGCTGACCACAGGGCTAGGTAGTTCATTACAAGGAAACAAAACTTTCAAAAATGTGTGTGTGTGTGTATATATAGATATATAGATATATAGATATATAGATATATAGAGATAGATATAATTTTGTATATTAACTAAATGTATTGCAATAATTATTTAATAGTATATGTAATTCAGTATGTTATATTTCTTCAACTTATACATGGTTGTATGTCAGTTAAAACTCAATTAAAAAACACACACACACACACAAAAAAAAAAACAGCAACACAGAGATAATTCTTCTCTTGGCAATATATGTCAAATGAAAAAAAAGAAAGAACTCCCATTACTTTTACAAGTGCACACTTCTTAGCAATTGTAACTTTTTAGAGTTCCTAGTAATGGAGAAACAAAATAAAACAGGTTTCATTTAGAAATTTGGAATACTACATTATTATTTTGTTGTTGTTGTTGTTGTTGATCCTCACCAGAGGATACTTTTCCCATTGATTTTTAAAGAGACTGGAAAGAGGGATTGAGGGAGAGCAGAGAGAGAAAACCATCTACATGAGAGAGATCCATGGATTGGTTGCCTCCTGCACATGCCATCGCCAGGGCCAGAGATGAAACCTCCAACCCAGGTACTTGCCTTTGACAAGGAATTGAACTCAGGACCTTTTTGGTACTAGGGCCAATGCTCTATCCACTGAGCCATACCAACCAGGGTACACAACTATTTTAATGATGTCAGCAGACTACATGGAGATAAAAATGCTCTCACAAAACTTTATAACAAAACAAATTGTGTGACACATGCAAAGTATTTCTTTAATAAGAGTACAGCAGACCTCTTCTCACATAATGTTTTTCAGACATTAAGTGAGAAGAGCAAAGGTTTTATTTTATTGTCTTCCCTTTATTTTCCTCTTCATTTTTCTTTAATGAGGTATGTTCTTAAAATAACCCAAATTTATCTAATAAACCTAAATTGCTTAAAACATAAAAAGAAGTTGGGTTGGAAAATCAAAGATCATCTTTATTTGCTAATTGGTCTTCTCAGAGAAGAAGAAGAAAACTTTATTGTATCTTTCTAATGGGGGGTAGTTCCGCAATTTGGAGCAAGACTCCTCTGGAAGTTATGCTCCCAGCCTCCCACAGTGACTGGGATATAGAAGTTCTATCTTCCTTGATGATTATATTTTAAAGAGAAGAATCGTGGATCATAAAAACTATCAAAAGTGCGAGCTGGGATGAACCATGGGGGTACATATAGCTTTTTGAATTAATGTTTTAATTTTCTTCTGATAAATAGCCAGCCAGAAGTAGAACTAATAGTTGGGTTCTGTTATATTTCTATTTTTATTTTTTCAATCTTTATAATAATATTATAATAACTATACTGTGAAAGATGGTTGCTATACTTGTCATCATGGTGATTATAATATGTATATAAACGCGTGGAATGATGTAACTGCAACTGAAATAAAATTGTATGTCAACTATACTTCAAGAAAAATTGAGCAGGGAGAAGATTCACATTTCCAAGGGGCAGAGAAAATTTTTCAATTGCAAGTTTTCTAAAGTAAATGCTCTGGGAAAACAGAGGTCAGGCATCTATCATCAGAAGCACTTGTCCAGAGTTCAGCCAAAGTGAGGGAAGCATTAGTCCATTGTATTGTTTGGTTGTTTGTTTTTCTTGTTGATTTTTTCTCTCTCACAGGATCGGGCACAGAATCTGAATGAACGGCGAACCACCACCACCACCCTCACAGTGGACGTTCTGGATGGAGATGACTTGGGTCCGATGTTTCTTCCCTGTGTCCTGGTGCCAAACACTCGTGATTGCCGTCCACTCCACTATCAAGCTGCCATACCTGAGCTGAGAACCCCGGTAAATACACTGTCTTCTCTCCTTCCTCACGTTCACCTCTGTGACCCCAGTGCGATTCAGACATTAAGTGAGAAGAGCAGTCTTTGCTCTATGGGTGTTAAAACTATTGATGCCCAAAGCCTGTTTTGGAGACAATGTGCACACGTTTTGGTCACAATGCACAATGATGTTATTTACAAAGTAGGAAGTATGTGATGGAGCAACAGCTCCGTGTGCACTGAGTTAGTTTCCGATATGTTCTGTGAAACTCTGAAAACTAACTCCAGCATTTCCTAAAATCCACATGTAAAAATGCAGTCCTCAATCAGAGGACACACGGATCAAAAAGATATTCTCTAGCCTCATTAGGTTCTGAATTATTAGTGGAAATTATGCTTGGCTACTTGGAGATGGAAACTAATGAATCCTGAATGCAAATATGTATTCCTTAAATATATATTTTAAAGAATTAGGAAGGTAAAGTTTAAATACTTGTTTTCCACACTGGTTTCTGCTTGACTTATTAAATTCTAAATTAATGATGGAGAATATTAAACTTTTATTTGACATGCTTAATAGAAATAATGAGAAAAAGTAATACTTTCAGTATTATTTTATTTTTCTGAGTTAATATATATAGCTGGTATACTAGTGAGATCCCAAGAGAAGGACACACTGTTATAATAATGACCAAAATCAACGATCTGTCTGTCTAACAGTGCTTAACGTATTAAAAGAAGTAACAGAAGACAGAGGTTGCATGGGGAAGCACTGGATTGATTTCATAAAGGATTTTTTAGTCTCCCTTCCTCTTTCTTCCAGATTAGAGATTAAGCATCTTTCATGGTTTAATAGCTTCATGCTAAAGACAAGGCTATGCTCCAGATTTGGGATAAAAATATAAATTATAATAATGACTAATGGTTTAATTTCACCAAAACTGTACTAAACTCTACAAAAATATCAACTGCAATCCATTTGCATAGTAACCATTGTTATGGTAATGTTACAGATGAGCTTTCTGAGGTACAAAGTTTAAGTAACTTTCTGTGGCCTTATAGCTAACAAGTAAAAACTGTTCTATTTTAAAATCATGCATCTTGAATTAAGTGTTATGCTATAAATTCGAAGATGATCAATTTTTATACTTCCTCACCATTTTAACAGATTGACCCATTCTTTAACATTCTTTGAAACAAAGAGGATTTTCATTTTACATACTTAAATAATCATGGCAAATATTTATCCATTTAAGGTATATTTTTATTGCCAAAAAATGTAAATATGCATATTTGCAAAATTGAGCAGTTGTTCTGATTATTTGTGGCTGCATAACAATTCATCTAAACTTAATGGCTTCAACAAGAACTTTCCAATTTACTCAGAAAGCTGCAATTTTGGCAGACTTGGAATAGCCAGCCTCATTCTTGCTCCACATAGAATCGCCTGGAGCACCTTCACTGGGAGCTGGGTCCCACTTTCAGAGTGGTTAACCTAGCAAGTTGATTCTGGCTATTGTCACAAGCTCAAGCATGGCTGTGAACTCCAGGCTTTATTGCCAATGCCTGTGGGCCTCTCCTAGGCTCTCTGAGTTCCCTCCCAGCCAGGCGCTGGATTCCAAGAACAAACTCCCAGAGAAAATTAGGCAGCAGTTTTATGAACAAGCCTTGTAATTTGCTTTGCTCTTCTGCTGTTGGCAAACCACTGCCAGACTCAAGAAATGGTATGGCATGCCATCCCATAATGGGACATGTGCCTCAATCACACACAAGAAGAATACATGGGGAAAGAAATTTTACTGGGGCAATCTTTGGAAAATAAAATCAGTCATTGCCTGGCCGGTGTTGCTCAGTGATTGAGCATCAGCCTATGAATCAGGAGGTCAGGGCACATGCCACAGTTGCGGGCTCAAACCCAGTGTTGGGTGTGCGGGAGGCAGCCGATCAATGATTCTCATCATTAATGTTTCTAATCTCGCTCTTCCTCTTACTTCCTCTCTGAAATAAAATGTGTTGTGTTTTTTTTAATCAGTCTTAATGCGGATAATGAGTTTCCCTGTGTTCTTCCACATGCTCTCTTGAAAGCCCTCTGATTACTATGGTTTAAGAAGTGGAACCAGTTATTGAGTTTCATGTTCAGATTGCTGTGTTTATCTCATTTTTCTTTTCCTTTATATATTTTGCTAAAATTGCTGAGAATTTCAATAAGTAAGATCTTGCTATTTAGAGCGAGAGGACTAAGCATTTATGTCAGCTTAACAGGACATGATGACTCTAATTACATACTTGCTGATCCTTTCCTGAATTAATTCTTAAAATTTTGAAGCTTTGACACCGGCTCACCTTCTTTGTGAAATTTTCCACCAATTACCTCAGTGGTATTTTTGACTTGAGAAACCATTCTAAGTTTCATTACCATGCTTGCAAAATTTATGAGCTCAGAAAAAACTTGAAAGGTAGACTAATACAGGTTTTCACTCACAAAGCAGGACCTATTAAGAATTAAAAAATACTGTTTGTTGAAATGCAAATAATCATGGGTTTAGAGATAAACTTATCTAATAAGTGTTTTACATGTTTTTCTACTACTGAAAATGATCTTCAGAAAAATTAATGTATTCAACAAACACTAAAATTAATATTATACTGAGTATGTAAATGTATAAATCTGGTATCTCAAGGGTTCTAAAGTGAATTTTAGTCCTACGCTAATTATCATTTCTTTATTAGAGGCCTGGTGCACAAATTTGTGCACCAATAGGGTCCGTTGGCCTGGCCTGTGGGATCAGGCTGAAATTGCATTTCTGACATCTCCCAGGGTACCTGGCCAGGCTGACAGACCGGACTAGTGCACAAATGGGGTCAGGGAGGAACATGGGAGGTTGGCCAGCAAGGGAGGGATCATGGGAGGGCTCCAGGGCATGTCCAGCTTGTATACACCAGATCACAACAGGAAGCTAACCTACCAGTTGGAGTGTCTGTTCCCTGGTGGTCAGTTCACATCATAGCGACTAGTGGGCTAGTTGATTTACTGATCCTACGTGGCCAGTGCATGTCATAGTGAGTGGTTAAGTGGCCTTAGCATATCATTAGCATGTTACACTTTAATTGGTTGAATGGCTGACTGGACAGTTAGCATTTTAGGCTTTTATTACTAGAGGCCCAGTGAACAAAAATTGTGCATGGTGGGGGGTATCCCTCAGCCCAGCCTGCATCCTCTCCGATCTAGGGTCCCTGGAGGGATGTTCAACTGCCCTTTCACAATCCAGGACTGCTAGCTCCCAACTGCTCACCTGCCTGCCTTCCTGATTGCTCCTAGCTGCTTCTGCCTGCCAGCCTGATCACCTCTAACCACTCCCCTGACAGCCTGATTGATGCCTAACTGCTCCCCTGCCAGCCTGTTTGCCCCTAATGACCTGGTCACCCCTAACTTCCCTCCCCTGCCAGCCTAGTCACCCCCAACTGCCCTTACCTGCAGGCCCAGTCACTCCCAACTTCTCTCCTCTGCTGGCCTGATCACCCACAACTGCCCTCTCTTGCAGATCTGGTCCCTCCCAACTGCCCTCTGCTGGCCATATTGTGGTGGCCATCTTGTGTCCACATGGGGGCAACCATCTTGTGTGTTGGAGTTATGGTGAATTTGCATATTATTCTTTTATTGGGTAGGATTAGATAATATAAAGGCCTGGTGCACGGGTGGGGTCAGCTGGTTTGCCCTGAAGGGTTTCCCGGATCAGGGTGGAGGTCTCTTTGGGGTTTGGGGTGGCCTGGGGGGAGGGGCCTATGGTAGTTTGCAGGCCAGCCATGCCCCCCAGCAAACCAAGTGGAGGCCCTGGAAGCTGGAATTTATTTATCTTCTATAATTGAAACTTTATAGCCTTGAGCACAGCCAAGCCTCCTGCTTGCTCTGTGGCTGCAGTCATTTTTGTTGGGATTTATTTATCTTCTATATTTGAAAATTTGAAGCCTCAAGCAGAGTCCAAGGCAGGCCAGGGCAGGCAGGAAGCTTGGCTTCCTCCATTGCCAAGCTTCCTGCTCTGTCCAGGAACACAGCCATCTTGGTTGGGTTAATTTGCATAATCACTCCTGATTGGCTGGTGGGTGTGGCTTGTTGATGTAGTGGAGGTACAGTCAATTTCCATATTATTCTTTTATTAGATAGTATGTAGGATTATTTTGTAAGTATCTATTTGACCCAAATGTATGTTATATTGTATGCTACTTGAGGAGACTTGACAACTAGGATGAGATAAAATCCTTCTCATACTTGTATATTGTTTGTATTCTCACTTTCTGACTCTTTTAAAGTTATTACCTCTAAGTAGTTGAATTTTTCTCATACTGTGAGAAAATTATGGAGAGTATAAAATCCATACTTCTGTATTCTCCATTTTCTATTGAGGCACAGAGACATAGTAAACCCTTATACACTTTTCTTTTTTTTTCAGAATTGAACAGGTGTACAATGGTTGTTTGGTTGGTTGGTTGTTGGTTTGTTTGTTTTTCTGAGTAATTTGTTCCTGAATTTGTTCCTGTATTAAAATGAAAATATTGGCATACTATCTGTGTCTACTGTATATACCTTCCTTTATTTACTGTGCTTGCATTGGTTGCCTACCAGACAAATCAATTAGCAGATAAAAAAACACACTCTGAGTTTTTCTCCAGCCCTGTTTTAAAGCCTGGGGTTGGATACCAGGATTGTTTAGCTACAAATACCCCCACTGTAGTCTTTGCCATAAAGAACTCCAGTTTTCATGTAACTGTCGAACCTACCTCCTCTGCTTTATTGATGGTGCTCTCTCTTTCCAGGGAAGCTTTCTCAGTTATTACAAGAGTGGTGGTGATTTGCAGTGATGTACAACATAATTGCCTCTTGGCTCATGCTCATTAAATGTGTTACAATCTGGGTACTCCCTCCTCTCTTGTGTTTTATTAAACTCCTGGTTCTTTTCCTCCCCATGATAGCCCTTGGTTTCTCCTCTTATATCATCAATGCCTTTTTTCAAACTGAATTGCTTT